CCCCATAAAAATGTATTAAACTAACATCCATTAAAATCCAAAGGCCAAATACCCATCTAGACAAATTTCAGAAAAGTTATTTGGGTGACTGCAACTCACAGAAACCCCCCCCCAAAAAAGCTTTGGGGGAATTGTAGTCCCCAAAAAGAAACATTTTTAGGTTTTGGCTATGTACAGCATCCTTTATCCTGCAGTAGCCAGTCAAATTCTTCCAGTTAGACCTCCAAGAGAAGAAAACATCAAACCACCTTTATTCTTCCCTTCTCCCTTCTAATAACTGATCTTCAATCTTCAACCTCTGAACCAGGAGGTTCCATTTACTATCATAGGAAACAATCAATTTTAGTGCAAAAACAAACCAGCTGAATGCAAAGTTTCTCTGTGTAACCCATAGTCCTTCCCCTCTCCTTGCTCCTGATCCAATAGGTACAAGTTGCTGCTGGCTTTTGACATTTCTTTTTGCACAAGAGCAAGGAGCAGAGAATTTGCAAGAAGCCTGTTACTCCCATCTCTGAAACAGAGACTTGGTCAAAGTTGAGCTGGTCCTCATTTTTGTGCTCCTTAAAAAGCAGGGCAACCCATTCTGCTTTGCTGAAACGGGTTGTAGTTCAGTAATAGAGCCCATCTTCTGCATGCCACCTTCTGTATGCCAGTGGTTCTCAGCTTCAGTTTCTAGTTATCTTTCTCCAGGTAGGGCTGAGAAAGATTCCTGTCTAGAAGGTCAGAAAGCTACTCCAAGAAAGTGTAAACAACACTGACCAAGATGGACCTATGATTAGATCTAATTATAAGGCACCATCCTATTTTACCAAAATGACTCACTAGGGCAGTGCTACCCAGATCAATGGACTGTTGCCAGTCTCCAAACCATCTGCTACCAGTCTCTGGAGAGCTTCCAGAAAAGAAAGAAACAATTGCAGCCAATGGGCAGAATATGGTACCAGTCCTTGGCTCACTGGGGAAAACAATCCTGGTCACCGAACATCAAGATAGCTTAGCAACCCAACTGCACTAGACAAATAAGCACTGCACTAGACAAATAATGCCATTTTAATTCCATAGGTCCTCTTATCCCCCTGGGAGAATGCCTCCTTTAATTTTCAGCATCAGACACTGAAAAGTTTTTGGCTTTCAGTTATGAACTTGCAGTTAAATCCCCATCTCAACAGTTTTCATCTTGGCTGACAAACATCCCAATCACATGGGATATTCATAAAGTTGTCTCAATACCTAGCAAGACCTTCCTATTATTATTATTATTATTATTATTATTATTATTATTATTATTATTATTATTATTATTATCCCGCCCCTCTGCATAACGCAACCGGGGCAGCTTACAACATTAAAATATACATTTCGTATCCTGCAGTCCCACTCCCCCTTAAAATGCTATTAAAAAATGATCATTTAAAACACGCTTAAAATACTAATGCAAATTTAAAAATAAAAATAAACAGTAACTGCATCCCTCATCCTGTACATTCAGTATTGCTGTGCTAAAGTGTAAGAGGAACTGAATGTTCATTTGGAAGTTGTGCTGATAGCTTCCCAGGTAGAGACCATAACCTTCAGAACTATTTCAAGAGCCTGTGCATTTATATCTGTTCACATAGCTTGTCTTTTGCATTTCATATTTGTATTTTTGACAGTAGTGATCTGTGTAAAAGCATGGGAGGAATGGCACATGTGAGGGTTTTTTAAAATATTTGCTTACCCGTGCTATAAAGATATGTGCCAGTACCTGCAAATAATAGTTGCTCAGTATGGTTGTGAATATCCCTTCTTATTCCAAAGTTACCGTCATGTTTAAAAACGATGAGGAGAGAGAACAGGGGCTCTCAGTGACTCCTATCATGTCAGGAAAAGTGAAGTGTGGTTCCCACCACACACAAATCTAGGTATTCCTCTTGCTTTTAAAAACACAGCTTTAAATGTGAGCGTATTTCAGTATTTTCTGCTAAACTAATCAAAAAACTAGAGGACTCTGGCTGGGAACCTCCATGGGTGGCGTGGAGTTTTAAATTGTGAATTCATGAGTTTGCTAAAGCCAGCATAGTATAGTGGTTCGGATGTTGGACTAGGTACTCTGGAGACCAGAGTTCAAATCTCCACTCAGGCATGGAAACCCACTGGGTGATCTTGAACAAGCCACACTCTCTCAACCTCAGAGAGGAAAGTGATAGCAAACCCCCTCTGAACAAATGTTGTCAAGAAAACTCCCTGATGGGGTTGCTTTAGGGTCGCCGTAAGTCGGAAAAGGCTTGAAGGCACACGACAATGAGAACCGAGTCCGCAGTTCTTTTGCCACGACTCTTGAACAATTCTGGAACTCTGTAGTAGAGCGGCTTGCCTTGCCTGCGCAAGTTTCCAGACTGAATTCCTGACATCTCTGGTCCTGGAGAGGAAAGGTTAGACGAAAAGTGATGGGAATGTATCTCTGTTTATATGGTCCAAGTAGAAAGTACTGAAGCCATGGACCACTGATACACTTCTGAGCACTTCCTTGGCCAGTATTTTCAGCGTTCCAACCTCAGCCACCATGTGGGCTGGGGGAATTCTCTGTATTCCAAACAATAACTTGTCCAAATTCTGATTCCAGTCAGAATAAACGTCTCTGTTGGGGATGCTTTGATTTTGAGTTCCTGCATGGCAGGGGCTTGGACTGGATGGCCCTTGTGGTCTCTTCCAACTCTATGATTCTATGATTCAATGTACGGTGATAGTATCTAATAATAATAATAATAATAATAATAATAATAATAATAATAATAATAATAATAATATGATTTATTTATATACTGCCCTGTGGCAGGCCAATCTAGGCGGTGAACAGCAATAAAATGGCAATAAAATACATACAGATTAGAACAATATCATTCCCTCCTCCCCCCCTTAAAAAGTTATTAAATCAAAATAATAATATGATTTATTTATATGGAAACCCAGCTTTGCCCTCCTCATATCAGTGAATGGATGTCACGCAGGCTGCAGCCCTTGTAATGCCCTTGTAAAAATTTTCAGCTCTTGTTCAACTCCCTGTGCCATTTGCACCACACTGTCCAGCAACAGGGAGTTTTTATACTGATAAGGCCTGGCACAAAAAAAAAAAAGAATGGTTGACTTGGTGAGAGGAAAGAGGTGACTTTGAATCTCTTTTCAGCCCATGCCTGTACTGGATAGCTTTCTGCGGGCCTCTGTTTTTCAATGTCAGTATGTTGCTCTTGTGTGCCTTCAAGTCATTTTCAACAAGATTTGTTGGAGTGGGAGCCTATATATTTATTATTACGATCAACCAATCAGACATCAAATAAACAACAATCAACTGACATCATAGCAAAACACAAATAAACATCATAGTAAATCATCAGATTATAAAAGTAAGTGATATTAATTAGAAATGCAATTACAGAATTATATTATAAGGAAAAGTAAAATTTAACAATATAAATTAATTATATGAGTGGGAGTGGGAGCCTAAGGTGAATCTATCACAGGGTTTTCTAGGCAAGATTTCTTCAGAGGGGGTTAGCCTTTGCATACCTCTGAGGCTGAGAAAGTGTGATTTGCCCAATGTCATCCAGTGGGTTTCCATGGCCAAATGAGGATTCAAATCCTGTTCTAGTCCATCACTCAAACCACCAAGCATCAGACTCTTCGGTGTCAATTCCCTGTTGCTAAAATGGTGCTAGGGACTTTATCACATGGGGGAAATCTATATCCCATACAAATCCCCCCAAAAAAGTGTAATTACGCACAATGATTTCACACGACGGCACACAAAAACTGCTATTCAAGTGGCCAGAAAGTGGTGTTATCCCAGATCTTTTTACTTTTGGGATTTTAGTGAAAATGCATTTTCAATATTACTGCAATTGCACATTTACTCTAGTGTGAAAGTCAAATTTGGTTTATTCACACAATAACCCTCCTTTAATTCTTTTTTCCGGTTTTCCCATGGTTCTGTGGGGCTGCTTTTCTTCCTGTTTTGCTTGGGCGACAAACATGCCAGGCACACATGAGCCTCTCTGCTTTCTCTTTCTTGCGCATGCGCAAGTATACCATTTCTAGCACATTTACGGATTTCTTTCACTTCCGTATGAAATGTAAAAACGCCTTTTTATCGCTTTTCATGTTATTTCGCATTTATTCTAATTACGTGTGAAATTCATTTGTGTGATCAAGCTCTATTTTCACTTTCAGGATGGTTTATTTGCACTTTATTATCTTTTTAAAGACGAAACTGGCTCCCATGTGATAAAGTCCTAGGTGAAAGAACAGAACTTGAAATACTTCAAGATGTGGATGAAGCTGCTACTTTACCAAATGCTCAGAAGCGTGGATCTAATTCCATCAACAAGGAATCCGGTTTGGAAAACAAACAAGCAGAGAATGGCTTCAGTACTTTCTACTTGGACAATATAGGCAGAGATTCATTCCCATCACTTGTGATCTAACCTTTCCCCTCCAGGACCAGAGATGCCAGGAATTCACCTAAATCCTGCACAGACATACAACCAAACTTCCCAAATCTGGCTTTTCAGCCTGGCCCTGCCTTTTCTGAAACCCTTAAAAAATCCTGACACCCACCTACCCTGATCCCCAGTCCACCAAAAACATCTCAGGGCAATTGAAATCAAAATTTAGACAGGTTGGTTTGATGTGCATGATTTAATCTTAGAATTGGGATTATCCCGAATGCCAGAATGTAAGCATTTTTAGTCCAAAATCCTAGATAGCACACCTTTTAAAGAATGCGTGACTTGAAGGCACAGAACAACAACAGCAACAATAGAGTGCTGTTGTTGCTGTTGTTATTCTGTACCTTCAAGTCGTATATAATATAAATCGCTCCTCTTGTGTGCCTTCAACTCATATATAATATAAATAATTCTGGGAAGTAAAATTGGTTTAAAGTAAACCTACATTTAAAGTAGGTTTGGATGTCGGCTTAACCGAAACCTGAATTCTACAAGCACCCAGCCACTATTTCAAATTAGTGGGAGTTTTTTTAAAGATGGGGGAGCTTAAAGATATAATAAAACATTTTATGAGGGACAGCATGGTTTCGTGGTTTGAGCATTCGACTGGGACTCTGAAGACTAGCGTTTGAATGCCTGCTCTGCCATAGAAACCCACTGGGTGACCTTGGGCAAGTCACATTCTCTCAGCCTCAGAGGAAGACAAAGGCAAACCCCTCTGAAGAAACCTTGCCAGAAAACCCCATGATAGATTCATCTTAGGGTCTGCATAAGTAAGAAATGACTTGAAAGTATACAACAATAAAACATTATATTTATTTTATGTGTTTAAAAGAGACAGCAGATGTTAATGGTGCAGGAGTGCCATCTTGTGGATTTTTCATGAAATGTCACTCTTTTCCTCATTTTTGTGTCCACTGTTGGGCTGACCATGTCTTTCTTTATGGTTCCATCTGGATGAAGCTTTGATTGTACTATTGCCCTGCCTTATTTGTGAAATTTTTCAAGACTTAAAGGACCCTACAACTTTGAGTCTGGAAGGATCCTACACAAGTGATAGCTTGTGTAGGACTCTCCAGGGAGCAGTTTTACCAGCAAGAAATAAATTCGCCTCTAAAAAGAAAGACATTTATTACCAGTAAATCATTTGACTTGCATTTATTAGTCAGGAAATGCTTATTTGAAAAAAAAGACCTTCAATAGACAGCCTTGCCACACTGCACTATTATAGTGCTATGATTCCACTCTTATGGCCATAACAACATCCAGCGGCAGATTAGGCAGGGATGGTTAGAGCTCTAGTGACTCGCCAAACTACAAACCCCAGGATTCCATAGGATGTAGACATGGCAGTTAAACTGGAATAACTGTGTAGTGTAGAAGGTCCCCAGAGAGTAGAGGCATGCAGGCATGCATTGAACCTCCGTTGGAAGGGCACTTTACAGCAAGCAGCACTAGTGCAATGGGACTTAACTTACCTGTATGTTTGTTCTTGTGTGCTTTCAACTCATTGGCAGCTCATGGTGACCCTAAGGCGAACCTACCATTAAGTTTTCTTGGCAAGATTAATTTACAAGGGGGTTGTCTTTGCCTTCTTCAGAGGCTGAGAGAATGTGACTTGCTAAGCTCACCCAGTGAGTTTCCATAGCCCAGTGGGGATTCGAACTCTCATCTCCCAGAGTCTTAGTCCAACACTCAGACATGCTGGTGTAGGTGGGGTTAGGTAAATTGGAAATCTCAAATTTGCATCCAGAAATATTGGGTTTGATCATGTTGAATGAGAATGAGACCTGACAGACTCTACACCAAATCCAAACTGCTAAGAGGCACCCCTGAGTTCAAGTCGTCTGAGGGAATGGTGACTGTAGCCATGAAATTCTGGCAGACCTAAATACCTTTCTGGCAAAATGTAAAATAGATTTAAAGTGTCACAGCAATAATTCCCTTGATTTCAACAATTTCCACCGTCAAATGTTGGCCTGTATATCATGCTTTGTGTCTGTAGAATTTAAGGCAGGATAGATTGAGTTCTTACCCAGCAGGATTGGAGGAACCATATTGGTGGGGAGGACCAGATTTCCCCCACATACACACACACACACACACACAGAGACTGCATGATGTCAGGGGGCTCCTTTGGCCAAAATAGTGAGTGGAGTTTCTCTACCTGATGCTTCAATCTAGGATCTGGCTTTGCTCCTCATCTCCTTTCCCAGCATGGAGAAATCTGTGGACAAGAAAAGCTCTTTCCTTCAGCATAGGAGTGCCAACCACAGTCAGGGCTCAGCCTGCAAGCACCAGTTGAGAAAGGACAGCTCCATGCCTTCTCCCTTTTCCCTGCTCAGGTATATAGCCTCTTATGTAACCCGTGAGTAAGACCCCTTTAGCTTCAATGGGTTTGATGCATACTTTATGTGCCTCCATAACATGCATTGCAAGAAACTAACCATATTTATCCGTCTCTTCTTTCACTTCTCCCACTATCTCCAGAGTTTGATTCTTCTACCCTGCGGTGCAGGCGCTTCTCTCCAAAAACCTGTCAGTGGTTGGAACGCATCATAAGCTAGGCCATCCAATCCCTGCTGTGTGGTTTTGCCGGTTGCCATAAACCCGTAGATCCGAACTTGCGGTACGACTCACT